TTGATTATTTCACTTTTAGAAGTTCCTCGGAACTCTGCAAATGTTGGAGAATTTTGGAGACTATAATTTGACAGGTTAATTTTATTGCCAAAGATTGTCATAATTTAATATTACCAGAGAGAAATGAATATTCACTTTTCCAAAAATACAGGAGGAAATGACTTACTTTTGGACAACTTTTTAAAAAAAATGACACACATGAATATTTTAAACTTAATGTCATTTCTATGAATCATAGCTGAATATAATGCTGTAAATTTATAGCGTAGGGCTGAAAATTTTTCAGGGGCCATCTTCATTCTCTCATATCCCCCTGGTTCACAAATCTGAGCATACACCCTTACTTCCAAGCAAGTAAATAATAATAGAAGTACAGTTAAGGTATTGTTACTAGAACTTCATTAATTTTATAAACATTAGGGGTGACTTAAATGTATGACCAAATATTGCAGGTTAATTTTTAAGTGGACAATTTTGTCTAGCCAATGAATAATGCTATAAAGATCCAAATGGCCCTTGGCAGAAAAAAGGTTTCCCACTCCTGTCCTAGAGAAAACCTAAAACACAACAACAAGGCTTATCAGAATAATTTATGTTAGCATATCAATCCATCAGGTCGGGTTGCTGCTCTGGCTGTCACTCTTTCATTCGGTGACATAGGAATCTGGGGTCCTTCAATCCTATACCATCTTGGAGTTCTTTGTCTCTAGACATGCACACAGAAGATCATGGATGATGTTTTTGTCATGCCTAGAAGTGATATACCTCACTTCTGCCCACATTCTTCTGGCGGTACCAATGGAATTGCAGAAAGAGCTGGGAAATGTAGGCCTGTGTTTCCAGGAAGAGGAAACGGAATTAGTGAGCACTCAGCCAGTCTCTGACACATGAAAAGGTTAAAAATAAGAAAATATGCAGCCCTAACCAGTTTGGCTCAGTGGATAGAGTGTTGGCCTGCGGACTGAAGGGCCCCCGGTTTGATTTTAGTCAGGGGCATGTACCTTGGTTGCGGGCGCATCCCAGTGGGGAGTGTGCAGGAGGCGGCTGATAGATGTTTCTCTCTCATTGATGTTTCTAACTCTCTATCCCTCGCCCATCTCTCTGTAAAAAATCAATAAATAGATCAACCGAAGGACTTGTATACAGGCATATAAGTACAACCAATGGACACAAAACTCTGGGGAGGGAGGGTATGTACGGGAGGGGGTATACGTACAAAAATAATAATGTAATAAAAAATATATTATAAAAAAATCAATAAAACATACTTATTATAAAAAAAGAAAAGAAAATATGCAAAATATGCCAGTCAGATGCTAATCAGAAGAAAGCTAAAGTAGCTTTGCTCATAATGGATAAAATAGTCTTCAAGGCTAAATGCATTATCCTATCTAATAAAAGAGTAATATGCAAATTGACCATCACTCTAACACATAAGATGGCTGCCCCCCATGTGGTCAAAGATACTGCCCCCATGTGAACACAAAATGGCCACCACATGATGGCTAGCAGGAGAGGGCAGTTGGGAGGGACCAGGCCTGCAAGGGAAGGTAGTTGGGGGCAATCAAGCCTACAGGAGAGGACAATTAGGGTGACCAGGCCAGCAGAGGAGGGAAGTTGGGAGCGACTAGGCCTGCAGGGAAGAGCAGTTGGGGGGGACCAGGCCTGCAGGGGAGGGCAGTTAGGGGGTGATCAGGCTGGCAGGCAGAAGCAGTTAGTGGCAATCAAGAAGGGAGGCAGGCGAGCATTTGGGAGCCAGCAGTCCTGGATTGTGAGAGGGATCCTAGATAGGAAAGGATACAGGCTGGGACACTCCCCCACCCTCTGTGCATGAATTTCATGCACCGGGCCTCTAGTTAGGAATAAGGATAGTAGCTGCATAAAGATAACAGATTCAAGTCACCTGGAAGAGATGCTAATTTTAAAATTATATATGTACCTAATGATATCTTTAAATAACAAAGAGCAAAAACTGACAGAATTTGAGGAGAAACTAAAAGTCCACTGCCGTAGAAATTAAAATATACCCTTCCCAGTAATTGATGTCACACAGCTCCCAAATTAGTAGCCATAGAAAATATAAACAATAGAATAACAAGCTGGATCAAAAAAAGGACATGTATTGGGAAAAGTTTTCAATTAGTAATAATTACACCTTGGATAAACCTCCTTGGCTGTGATAATGCACTGAGCAATGCTGAAGAAAGGACAAGTATAGAATCTTGTATCCAGTGGCAGACAACGCACATTTTTCTTTTTCTATCCTGGATGCTTTCTTTCTTTTCTTCGTTAAGAGTGCAAAAAATGTTTTTCCAAACTGAAGATGTACTTGGCTAGAAAGCCAGTCTCAACCAATTTCCCAGAATCAGTATCATACAAATCATGTTCTCTGATTACAGTGCAATTAGGTTAAAAATAAACAACAAAAAGATAAGCAAAAGAAAGAAAACTGTGTATGGTGTTTACTCTAGTGTTAATTACCTACAATAGTGAAAAATTAGAATCACTGAAATATCCAATGATATAGTATGGTTACAAAAATTATGCCTCATCAACCCAATGGGTTATCATGTGGCCATTAAAATTATTTTTTTAATGGATTATGTTTAAGATATAATATTAAGTGAAAATTTTAAATCTACAGGGGTGGGCAAAAGAAGGACTACAGTTGTAATACAAATAAATAACACAGTAATTGCCCTAGCTGATTTGGCTCAGTGAATAGAGAGTTGGCCTGCAGACTGAAGGGTCCCGGGTTTGATTCCAGTCAAGGGCATGTACTGAGGTTGCAGGCTCCTCTCTGGCCTGGACCCTGGTTGGGGCACTTGCAGGAGGCAACCCATCAATGTGTTTCTTTCACATCAATATTTCTGTCTTTCCCTCTCTCTTCCTCTCTCTCTCAAAACCAATGGAAAAATATCCTTGGGTGAGGATTAAAAAAGAAAAAATACAATAATTAATAAATAATACAAGAATAAACTCTTCACATAATTTTCTTCCTTTCGCTTATCTTTGTGTACTCACAATTGTAAACCTACTTTTGCCCACCTTTGTATGTTACTTATGATTATAACCATGTGAAAATATGTGTGCATTTAGACAGATTAGAAAGATATGAGCAAATTAAAACAATTGTATTATAGCAATGAGATTATGTGTGATTCTACTTTTAAAAGGGTTTTCTATGATGTGGTTATATTGTTTAATGTAAGTTAAAAGAATCAATAGAAGACTTTCTCTGGCAGCTGATGGTATTTATGTCTTTTTTATGCTAGTTATGTCTTAATATCTATTATCACTTTCTTTTATAACAACTGAATTTTAGTATGGTACATAATTGCCCAAAACAAGAGTACATTTCCCAGCCTCCCTTGCAGCTAGGCGTTATGACAGGACAGAAATCGTAGCTAATAAGAGAAGTGGCTGCTCTTAAACGTAAAGAGTCTGTCCTTCCTCTGTCCTTTTCCTTCATCTTGTTACCTTAAATCTCCCTTAGCTTTTGTCTTTGCACATATGCATTTGATTGAAATAGGAACTGTTTCATAATTTAACAAATGAGAATATACATGACTCATGAGGTATGTGTTTTCTATTGAACCAGTGTCCAGTACAAACGCTGAAAACAAGGGGGATTATCTGTCCCATTTTGGAGATCAAATGAGGGTATATTAATATTGAAGAGTGCATGTTTAGTGCTCTCCCTCCTGGGAGCAGGCCTGTGCCTTTTCCTCCCTCTATTCTTTCCCCACACGCATGCATTTCCTAAACCCTAAGGGTCTCCACAAGACTTGTAGCCAGGGGAGCAATGGGCAGCGACAGCTCGTCCTGGGCCAACCCCCTGAACCTGTATCCAAGGCCCCCTTTTCTCTGACTTCCCAGGGAGCCTTTTTCTGTGCTAAGCCCTCCCTTGTTTCACTGTCCCAGCTTTCATAAATGACACCCCCCCCAAAAAAAAAAAGAGTACACATTTTTGTTAAATACATTCTAGCGGGAGTCACACACATTGACTCCAATATTCCTTGTCATTTAAGGGAGTGTTTTAGCAGAGAATGAGATCCATGTATAGGCTGCTTTGTCTGAGTTAGAGCAGCAATCAGATTCCACATTTTAAATGTTAAGCAAAATAACAAATTGTATTTTTAAAGTTAACTAAATAATGCCCTTTGTTTAACTATCATAGCTGCTGGTAAGGTTTGATATCATCTGATAGCCTGGATCACAAAAGATCAATACTTCACACTATATCAGGCATGAGAATTTATCAATTCAAAAGGAAATGGATGAATATTACTGAAAATAGTCTTCATACTTGGAAAACAGCCAAAGTGCAACATGAAAGCAGATGCAACATTCTGTCCCAACTGCTTACAATGCTCAGTAATGATTAGGTATGCTATGTCACACCGACTGTAGCAACAAATGCATTATTAATTTTATTATAATTGAGAGTAGGTCAATCACAAGCTGTTCTGTAAAAACAAAATGCTACTGAAAAAAGACACTGGAGGCTGATTCCATAGCAGCCTTTTATCCTGCGAATTCTAATATTTATGCTAAGCATGGCCTGTTCAGATATTTTTTAAAATGAAGGAAAATCAAAATTGAATAAAAGTGCTAGGGATTCATATATGTACCATTTCTCAAACAAAACTGTATATGCTTAGTTTGAGGGCATCTAGTTGAAATAATTTGTTCAGATTAAACTTCTGCCAGCAGAAAAATATTTGCACCCCTGGTATTACAAAAAGGGCTTGAAAATCTGTCGCGCATTTGGTTCAGAGAGCATACTGAGGCCTTGTTTATATTTTTTTTCTTTGGTATTCATATTCATCATTTATAGACAGACAAACAATTTATTAAATCACTTGGTTTTCTTTCAATTAGCTGCACATTAAAATGGTGGATCACGATGAACATACAATTCTTGACACCAGAAAAATGGTTCCTTTTTGTCTTTCTCCGATTTTTCATCTAAGGTGGGGTCTTTAAATTTCACAATTTCAAAAGTTGAGGTAGAGAAGACAACCTTTTGCTGTTGCTTTGTTTCTGGTCTGTCTGTCTGAGGTTTCTAGGTAGATTATAAATGAAAGCAGAAAGTGTTTTATATTTGCTTTTTATTACTTTATCATTGACTTTTTGTACTTAGCCTCATCTCAATAAATATATAACATATTAACAATTATATAGCAATACATGAATACATGTGCATTATAAATATGCCTATGATGTAGGAGTATACTGAGGCAGAATTTACACAGTATAGCTTTTTTTATTTTTTAAATATGTTTTTATTGATTTCAGAGAAGAAGGGAGAGGGGGAGAGAGAGAAACATCAATAATGAGGGAGAATCGCTGATCGGCTGTCTCCTGCACGCCCCCCACTGGGAATGGAGCCTGCCACCCGGGCATGTGCCCTGACCGGGAATCAAACTGTGACCTCCTGGTTCATAGGTCTATGCTCAACCACTGAGCCATCCTGGCCAGGCAGTGTAGCTTTTTTAACTTTATTTTTATTGTTGACACTATTTCAGATGTCCCCCTCCTCACGACCCAACCCCCCATCCACCTCCACCCAGCCCTGCCCCTCTTCCCTCTGGCCAGCACCACACTGGTGTCTGTCTATGGACTATGCATACATGTTCTTTGGCTGATGTCTTCACCTTCTTTCACCCAGTTCGCCCACCTCCTCCCCTCTGTCAGCTGTCAGTCTATTTCCTTTTTGTATGCCTCTGTTTCTATTTTGTTATCAGTTTATTTTGTTCCTTAGAATCACAGTATAGCTTTTAAGAAGTTCATATAGAAATGACTTCCTCTGAGAAAAGCACCATTAAGGATGTGCTGACTCATCAGTATAAATATACAGAGTGCGTTTTTGTTTTTTTTGTCGTGTGTGTGTGTGTGTGTGTGTGTGTGTGTGTGTGTGTGTGTTTTTGCCAGTTCATACCAGCCTAAAAGACTGGTATTAATCAGGTTTAAGAATTTCAAAAAGGCCGAAACCGGTTTGGCTCAATGGAAGAGCGTCGGTCTGGAGACTGAAGGGTCCTGGGTTCGATTCTGGTCAAGGGCATGTACCTTGGTTGCGGGCACATCCCCTGTAGGGGGTGTGCAAGAGGCAGCTGGTCGATGTTTCTCTCTCAGCGATGTTTCTAGCTCTCTATCTCTCTCCCTTCCTCTCTGTAAAATATCAATAAAATATATTTTAAAAAAAGAATTTAAAAAAGATGTGTTACCAAGAGAAATGTAGCTTTATACTATCTAAAGTATATAACAAAGGGTTTTCAGCCTTGAACTTGTAGATTAGGAAAACTCGACTCGTAGAAGTACTTGCAGTTTGCATGCATATTGCTCAAAACGATGAATTCAGTACAAGTTAAACTTACACTCTCCGCAGAAGTGCTTGCTTTTTTCTCCTTCTCATAAGCTTTTTTCATTTTTTCATTTTTCAATCGTGCTTGCTTGGATCGCCGACCCAAATGTTTAAATTGACTTTGCTGTTGGGCGGGCCGAAATAAACTTTGGCTTTTCAACAGAGGTAAGTACCTAGGAAATATTTGTATTACCGACAGAAAAATGGAACAAAATAAAAGTTAAACATACGCAAGTTCCAAATTTTATTAAAGCATCCTCTAGCAAATATATCATAGATCTCAGTACTTGCAGCAATACTGCATATATATATTTTAGGCCAAAGTTATAATTTCTACTTGAGGTACATAGCACGGTTCTTTAAATGCCATGATGACATTGATGATGATAAAAATTATAATTTACAGAAAATGATGAGTGGAGTTGTAGAACAATAAACCAATCATTACATTTAGACCTGGGCTTTGAAAAACTTGCATTTCATTTGAACAGTTCATACATATTTAACAGCTTATATATAAATCCAGATCACAAATAATCTTGAGTATTGTTTATGATTTACAGAAAATGATGGATGATGATAAAAATTATAAAATGCGGTATTAATTGAAAATCATTTTTTTCCTGGAAAATACTGTGTAGTAGCCATTTGAATACCATATACTAATACAAAAAGGTATTAAATTTCATAATAGCTGGGGGGGAAAACCCACAAACTTTTAATTTTTTAAAATTTTTTATTTTTTTAAATTTTAATTGATTTTTTACAGAGTGGATGAGAGAGGGATAGAGAGTGAGAAACATCAAAGAGAAACATCAACCAGGTGCCTCTTTCACATTCCCATTTGGATGTGCCGGCAACCAAGGTACATGCCCTTGACAGGAATCGAACCTGGGACCCTGCAGTCCGCAGGCCAATGCTCTAGCCACTGAGCCAAACCAGCTTGGGCCCCCCCGAAATGTTTTAAATGTGTTGGGTTCAGACCTAGTGAGTACTATGCCCATAGTCCCTGGCTTTACCACTGCAGGGCACACCGCCCCAACTTCCAACTGCCCTCCCTCAGCCTGCAGCTTTCTTGTGTAAACAGGAACCCATGTTCTGGGAAACTGCCCGAGAACTAATACGGCCCCTGCTAAGCAATCCTTAACTAAAGACTAATGGACACTGGTGGACAAATATCCCAACTCCTTTGCCCCCTGTGGGGTAACTTGAGTTGCATGTTCTGTATTTGCTCAGACATTTTTCAGCTCGTTACCCATAGTGGTAGCTTGCTTGCTAACCCACATTGTTTTGGCGCCTGCCCTTCCCCATTTCACTTCTCTACCCCCTCTTATCAGTAGCCCCTAGGATCACACACACACACACACACACACACACACACACACACACCCCGTCTCATGTTTTGCTAAGACTACATTCGAGAAAGCCTTTAAGCAAGTCCTTTTTCCTCTCCAATTGATTTAGAGTTTGGCTACTTATCTGGTTAAAGCAACTCATTCTTGGATAATCAGTAGCATGAGCCCCAACAGCTAGGAGTCTAGGGTTATATATGGTGGCAAAGAAAATGACATCATGTATTTGACCTTGGTGCTAACAGGGTTAAGTTCTATAGTCAGTGCTTATATGGATGAGTGAGAGAAAATCTATTTCACGATGACAGACTGTGCCCTGCACCAGGCCATCTGTCTGGCAAATGTATAGTCTTGATCATAAAAATAAATGGGCTAAATTATGTTATTGGGTCAGCACCACTCATCTCTCCTCCTGAAGAAAACAACACCCACACAAAACAACAAGACCCAGCGTGTCTGCGTGACAATGGGCCGCCAGTGTTTTCTTCAGGTGCTAAAGGAGGATTTTTCATTTCCAATATGACAGTGTGAAAATGGACTAGCAATAGGTCCTCTTCAGTCTTATTATCTTTTTCTTAAGAAAGCAAGCTTAATCCGTAAACAAGATGGGTTTAGGTGAGACTTGGTAATGGAAGGGAAAAAAAGTGATAATTGGAGTAGGCATATTCTGTTCGTGTTGTTCGGATCCTAATACAGTCCATTTTGCTACAACATGCATTTCTATAATGTGAATTGGCTCGCATGCTATTGGTAAAGAAGGGAATAATGTCACTGTGATTTATATGCAATTTATCTTCAGCAAGGCGAGGCAGAATAGCAAGAGCAGAATCATAACCTTCAGCAGAAAGGGAAAAGTCCTGTGCAGCATGGGCAATGGGAGCCCCTCTGGCTGGATTTATCAAAACAACAGTTAGCACCCCACCCCCACAGTCCACCCTTACTTAAGGTGGCCAGACGTCCCGATTTTTAACAATTTGTGCCGCATTGTTTTAAAAAAGTTGTTTTATAAAAAATTGGGACTTTTTTTTTTTTTAATATGTTTTATTGATTTTTTACAGAGAGGAAGGGAGAGAGGGATAGAGAGCTAGAAACGTCGATGAGAGAGAAACATCGACCAGCTGCCTCTTGCACACCCCCTACCGGGGATGTGCCCGCAACCGAGGCACATGCCCCTGACCGGAATCGAACCCGGGACCCTTCAGTCCGCAGACCGACGCTCTACCACTGAGCCAAACCGGCTTCGGCAAATCGGGACTTTTTTAAAATGCCACAGGACGCGGGACAAATCATTAAAAATCAGGACTGGCCCACCAAAAGCGGGACATCTGGTCACCTTACCCTTAATGTCCTCCACCCTACTCCCCACCTTGGGTCTCTCAGATCTTGGCAAGTGGTACTGCCTCTCGTGTCCACTTAAAAGGCAATCACACTGGCTCCGGGCTCCACTTCTCTCTGCACTATTTCGATGCCCACTCTTGCTCTAATTAAAGAGTTGCCAACATCTCTACCCTACATTTTTATATTCGCTCTGGTGGCCTCCAGCCATCCTAAACTGCCTGTCTGGTGAGTCAACTTACCTCCCTAGGTAGCAATTGTCCTTTTGGTTGGTGCTCTGTTTACGAAGTTGCATAAGTTCTGAGCCATCTGCCTCAAACCTGCTATTATATGGTGTGAACTATTGGGCAGAATATGAACATTTTCAGAAACGTCTCTAGTATCCTAACTCTGGTGAGGGGTCACTTTTACCTCGTTTCGGTAATAATCCGCAGCTGTTTTCGACGCATCTCTTCTGTTCGTGGTCTCTGTAACAGGTACTTCATTTCTTTTTGCAGACGTTTTGTCAGTACTTTAGACTCTGCATAATCAAGTATGTCATACATTATCATTGTCTTGGGAATGCTGCTGAGGGTCAATCTTCTCCAATAGTTATTTCTTCCACCAGAAGATGCAGGTGTCTTATCCAGAATACTGGAATACTACAGGGGTGGGGAACCAAAGTAGGTTTACACTGGTGAGTATTCGAAACACAGAGTTTATACTTGTATTATTATCTATTAATTATTATAGTATTTTCCATACAAACAACTATAAACCTATTCTTGCCCCACCCGGTGGAAAAAACAACTAAGAATGATTGGTTGTGGTGCGCTAGAATGGTTTTAGACACATTTCCCAAGGTTCCACTCATTCAAAAGGCATTCCTTGAACATCTCTGATTTTATTGGTATCTCTCTTCTATGACTCTTATTGCTGACAAATGGTTGGTTTAGCTATCTGTGTGTATCTTAGCTCCCCTACTAGAAGGCAGAATCCCTGTCACATAGAATCTTGCATATGATACCACACTCACTACATATTTCTTTAATGTATAAACATTTTAATGGCAGCTGAAACCGGTTTGGCTCAGTGGTAGAGCGTCAGTCCCAGGTTTGATTCCGGTCAAGGGCATGTACATTGCCCTTGACCGGAATCAAGGGCAATGTACATTGGTTGCGGGCATATCCCCGGGAGTGGGTGTGCAAGAGGCAGCTGGTCAATGTTTCTCTCTCATCGACCTTTCTAGCTCTCTCTCTCTCTCCCTTCCTCTCTGTAAAAAAATCATTAAAATATATTTTAAAAGACACACATTTTTATTTATTTATTTTTTTAAATATATTTTATTGATTTTTTTTGCCCCCCTCCCTCCCTCCCACACATCCCCTCCCTCCCCAGAGTTTTATGTTCATTGGTTGTACTTATATGCATGTATAAAAGTCCTTTGGTTGATCTATTATCTCCCCCAGATCTTCCTCCCCTCCCCGCTGTAATTTGACAGTCTGCCTGTTGATATACTGTCTCTATATCTATCTTTTGGTTCATCAGTTTATGATGTTCTTTATTATCCACAAATGAGTGAGGTCATGTGGTGTTTTTCTTTCATTGACTGGCTTATTTCACTCAGCATGATGTTCTCCAATTCCATCCAGGTTGTTTCAAATGATGAGAATTCCTTCTTTTTTTATGGCAGCATAGTATTCCATTGTGTAGATGTACCATGGTTTTTTGATCCAATCATCTGCTGACGGGCACCTAGGCTGTTTCCAGATTCTAGCTATTGTAGATTGTGCTGCTATGAACATAGGGGTGCATATATCCTTTCTAATTGGTGTTTCTAGTTTCTTGGGATATATTCCTAGGAGTGGGATTACTGGGTCAAATGGGAGTTCCATTTTCAGTTTTTTGAGGGAACTCCACACTGTTCTCCACAGTGGTTGCACCAGTCTGCATTCCCACCAGCAGTTCACGAGGGTTCCTTTTTCTCCACAACCTCGCCAACACTTGTCGTTTGTTGATTTGTTGATGTTGGCCATTCTGACAGGGACACACAACATTTTAATGGCAAATATAACTCACATAAGAGTCTCTGATGAAAAATGGCAGCAGAGTGAGTGGAAGCCACACTGACACTGTCCTAGGACCAAACTGGAAATACAACTAAAATACAGGAAAACCATCCTGAAAAATCAACTGAAGGCTTGCTGGAGAGAACCCTAACCCAGAATGGACAGTGGTGACCGCACAGAGACTGGTGGAAGGGTGGAGATGCAAGAGCGTGGACCACAGGCAGCAGCTGAAGGTCTGGAGAGATATCGCAGCTGTGCGGGCTTCCTACTGAGAACTCTGGTGTCTAAACCCCAAGCCGAGCTCCCCAGCCCAGGGCACCAGGACTGAGAAAGGCACCCACATAACACCCAGCTTAAAAAGCAGCAGGGCAGTCAGAGACTCCTGGAAAAGCAGGTACCCTCTTAAATGGCCAATGCACACAATTTTGTGTGCAGCCACTTACGTTGGGCTCTGGCAGAGGGAGGGAAGAGTGGACTGGAACTGTGTGAGGGGAGACCAGGGTTAGGGGCTTTGCGGTAGGAGCTTGGATGGCAGCCACCCCAGTTTCCTGTGTTGTCATTCCCTCACACTGTGGAGAATGTCTTTCTCAGCAGATCTTAGCTATCCAGGAGGTGTTAGCCTGGGGGAAGGCAGTTACCACACCCAGTTGAAAGACCTCTATCATCCTGTGTTCCCTACCCCGAGGCTGATCAAGGCTGATAACATTCACGCTGCAGATGGAGATGGAACTCTGGAGGCTTTGGTCTTTGCCTGATATCTGTCTGGGACCAGGGCTAGGAAAAGAGACCCAGGTGCACATCTTGGTCTTTTCCAAAGGCACTCAGCCCCAGAAGAGGGGCCCGCAAGCTGGGGCTTTCTGGTAGTCCCAAACAGGGTACTCAGGGCCAGTCAGAAACAGCATCTGATATTTTCCTGCAGTAGAGGCTGGAAGTTGTAGCAGATCTACCCAATACATAGACACAAACCCAAACAGACTGCCAAAATGGGGAGACAAAAAACAAAAACAAAACCCAAAACAAAAGAACAAGACAATTCTCCAGAAGAGCTAAACAAAATGGAGATAAGAAATTTATCTGATACTAGAGGCCTGGTGCACGAAATTAATGCACAGGTAGGGTTCCCTAAGCCTGGCTGGTGATCAATAAAATATATTTTTTTAAAAAGAATATATTATGAACAACTATATGCCAACAAGCTGGACAATGTGGATGAAATTCCTAGAAAACTATAATCTCCCAAAACTGAATCAGGAAGAATCAGAAAACCTGAATAGGCCAATAACAACAAATGAAATAGAAACAGTAATAAAAAAAGTTCCCAGCAAACAAAAGCCTGAGTCCAGACGCTTCACAGGGAAGTTTTATCAAATATTCAAAGAACTAACACCTATACTCTTCAAACAATTCAAAAAAATCCAAGAGGAAGAAAGACTTCCAAACTCTCTTTATGAGGCCAGCATTATCCTAATTCCAAAACCAGATAAAGACACTACAAAGAGAATTACAGACCAATATTCCTGATCAACATACACTGAGTGGCCAGATTATTATGACCTCTGAATGCATAAAAATCTGGCTACTCAGTGTATATCTTATATAATAAAAGGCTAATATGCAAATTGTCCCCTCAACCAGGAGTTCGGCCAGCAGGCAGGCTGGCCAACTACCCATGTCCCCTCCCCCTGGCCAGGCTGGCCTGATCCCACCCATGCACGAATTCATGCACCGGGTCACACACACACACACACACACACACACACACACACACACACACTGAGTGGCCAGATTATTATGTGTTCAGAGATCATAATAATCTGACCACTCATTGTATATGCCAAAATCCTCAACAGAATATTAGCAACTCAGATCCAGCAATATATGAAAAAGATTATACACCAAGACCAAGTGGGATTTATTTCAGGAATTCAAGGCTGGTACAATATTTGGAAATCAACACATGTGATACATCACCTACACAAATTGAAAATAAATACACATGATTATACCAATATATGCAGAAAAGTATTTGACAAAATCCAATACCTATTTTTGATAAAATCTCTCAGTAAAGTGGGAATACAGGGAGCATATCTCAACATAATAAAGGCCATCTATGACAAACCTACAGCAAACATTATACTTAGTGGGAAAAAATTAAAACCATTTCCCCCAAGAAAAATAACAGGACAGGGATGTCCGCTTTCACCACTCTTATTCAACACAGTACTGGAAGTCCTAGCCACAGTTATCAGACAAGAAAGAAAAGGAATCCAAATTGGAAAAGAGGAAGTAAAACTGTCATTATAAACAGATGATATAATACTGTACATACAAAACCCTAAAGACTCCACCAAAAACCTATTACCGGTAGTTATAATAAATGATTTAGGCAATGTAGCAGAATACAAAATTAACAACCAGAAATTGATAGCATTTAAAAAAAATATATTTTATTGATTTTACACAGAGAGGAATTGAGAGGGACAGAGAGTTAGAAACGTCGATGAGAGAGAAACATCAACCAGCTACCTCCTGCACACCCCCCACTGGGGATGTGCCCGCAACCAAGGTACATGCCCTTGACCGGAATTGAACCTGGGACCCTTCAGTCCGCAGGCCGACATTCTACCCACTGAGCCAAACCGATCCCGGCTGATAGCATTTTTATACACCAACTAGGGACCTGGTGCATCATACAACTTAACAAAATTCAATTTAAAATGGGCAAAATAGACACTTCTCCAAAGTGAACATATAGATGGACAAGAGACAAAAAGTGCTCAAAATCACTGATCAGCAGAGTGATGCAAATTAAAATAACAATGAGGTATCACCTCACACCTGTCAGAATGACTACTATCAACAAATTAACAAAGGACAAGTGCTGGCGAGGATGCGGAGAAAAGGAACCTTAGTACACTGCTGGTGGAATGCAGACTGGTAAAGACATTATGGAAAACAGTATGGAGTTTCCTCAAAAAATTAAATATGGTCCTAGCTGGTTTGGCACAGTAGATAGATTATTAGCCTGTGGACTGAAGGGTCTTGGGTTTGATTCTGGTCAAGGGCACATACCTCAGTTGCAGGCTCTGGTTGAGGCCTTGGCGGAAGGCAACCAATCAGTGTGTCTCTCTCACATCAATGTTTCTCTTTCTCTGCCTCTCTTCTCTTCCACTCACTCTAAAAATCAATGGGAAAATATCCTCTGGAGAGGATTAACAAAAAAAGAAAATTTAAAATTTATATATGGAATTGCCATTTGACCCAGTGATCCCACTTCTAGGAATATAGCCTAAGAAACCTGAAACACCAATCAGAAAGAATATATGCACCCTTATGTTCACAGCAGCACAATTCACCATAGCTAAGATCTGGAAACAGCCCAAGTGCCCATCAGCAGATGAGTGGATAAAAAAGCTGTGGTACATTTACACCATGGAATACTATGCAGCAGTAAAAAGAAGGACCTGTTACCCTTACAGACAGCATGGAGGGACCTGGAGAGTATTATGCTAAGCAAAATAAGCCAGTCAGAGAAAGACAAGTATCACATGATCTCACTCATATGAGGAATCTAATGAACAAAATAAAAT